AAAAAATAACGTATACTTATTGTCGTCGGATTAACACCAAATTTTCACAGCTTTAAGGTGACAGTGAGAGGACTTGAATGTGTCCAGACAAACTATTTCATTGATTATTTACCAACGAGTTGTGGTTTGAGTTGGGGGCAATGCGACTAAAACAGTAATTGAAATTCAGCACACTATTTTTTAAAACGCGTTGCTTGAATAAAACTGACCAGACACATTCAATTTACCAGACTATTGAACAACTAGGAAAAGTGAAAAAAAATACTTCTTATCGCCAGCATAAATGCGTAATTATTTTTTCACCTTTGATTGAGTAACGCGTTGTAGAATGCAGATACGGGCATGCAAAATACACTTGTGAAAAGCTTGAAGTCTGGCGATTCTAAAAATATATACTTTCCTGGGTCTATTTGTAGTTATTTAGTCACAATTAGAAGATGAAAACAAGTATGCAAATAATAGTCCCGCTACCTTAAATGTTAGGAGAAATGTATAGAAATCAAACAAAGAATAGACTTACGTGTTCATACGTAACCCAGTAATAAGGCTGGGTTCCACTTGGCCTATATCCAAGACATGGACCATTATCTGAAGACAATCAGAGACATACGTCATCATCGATTCTGTTTTGCAAACATGTGCCAGTTTCAAAAATTAATTACGTGGAATATAAATGTGTAGTATTATCTGGTTAGTTTCATAACCACTTCACTAATATTATAACTATGTATTTTAGTTAACGATTCCGTTACTAACCTGACAGTTTGATGCCATGTTTGAATACATCGTGTAAATTGTTGACGCCAGGAAAGAAGGATTCCACCAAGGGTTTCCCCTTCACCATTGGGTTGACATGGATACGCTCATTGCCCTTAGAGAAAAGTGATGACACAATAAAGTGATATAATTTATAAATGCTTTTTGACACTTTATATAGTCGATATTTTTTTACTATAGTAGAAGTAATAGAAACAACTACAAAATTAATCCTTGGAAAGGTTAATTGGCCACCCGCGTTCTTGTTTCAAGGAGAGCGAGTATTTTTGTAAGGTCCCTTAAATTTCAGGTTACAGGTGCAGAATAAAAGTAGTTGTGTTTTCATGTCTTTCTTTGTACACTTTCTTTGTACATAAGATACTTTACACTATCTCCTCCCAGACTTTCAAAACAGACTGAGGGTGTTTGCCCTTAAATTTTATTCCAGATTTAAGCATAAATATTTCATCTTCAATTTCCAGAGAAAATACGTTTTAATCAAAAATCAGTAACTAACGTGGTTACCGATTTACCCAGAGAGTGTCACCACCGATGCTGGTCAACACTCGTATGTCCAGTATTGCTTTACGTAGAGACCAGAATCACTCACCGGTAACTGGACTGATTGCAGTCGTACATTTATCTTTGATGGCAAACCGAGCACCTTGCGTAGGTGCGCCTCTTCTGGTGTCACCTTCGTATTATTTGACGGCATATTTATAACTCGCAACTATAATGGTAGAAAATATACATTGTTTTTTTTTGCATTCGTAGCGACAATTCTAAACGATGGTATACTCTGACTTGTCAGTGTCGTACTACACTACACATTCACTATAAGAAGAGTACTAGTATACTGTAAAACACGTCTTTTTAGCTGATTTAGCTAACTTGTAATTTCGCTAATTCAAGATGTCGCTAATGTAGATTAAAGTATATTCTCGCAATGAGATTGTTGGCATTTTAGCTAAATTAAGATTTTGTTAATTCATGTATTGAGTCAAATTCGCAAAAATGGCATGTATCTACTATTACAATGTGTTTTACAGTAGGTGGG